TGGTTGAAATGCATCGGTGTTGAACTAATATCGGAAATGAGATAAACTAGCGAAAATACCTGGTATTTTCGAATGGACCATTCTGTGAGCATGACGCGAACGCTAGAAACTTCGAACTAAAACATAAAACAGAAGATCATTTCGTGCTGATCTCCTGAAATAAAAGAACAGAATTTACGCACCCATTTTCTTACCAAGAAAGTTTTTGCAACTTTCGACTAGTTCTATGTGAAAAGCAAATGGCAATGCTCTAAAACAGAATCTACGGTCAAGATGTCTAATCATCTTCCTTTCGATCGTTCACAATCCAAGTTTGTATCAGACCCTTGAACATTTGCGACGGAGACTACTCGTGCAGGAATTCGACGTTCAGAGTTGATTTCAGATAAACGTATACAGAAATGTATGATTTACTCACCTAATCATAGAACTTGAATATTGGAATCTAAGTGGTGTCCAGACTGTTCTATCGTTGACCGTCATGAGAATCGACCCCCTCGGAGTTTATATTCATATAGAATTTAGAATAAATCAACTGCGACTGTTGGAAGAGGAGTAAGCTCATAGTTGAGGTTCAACTTATGTACGAAGGGTTCAATCTAGGCGTCTAGATCTACTTGTGTTCACGTGACAGGTATTCTGAACGGTCAGATTGCAGTAATTTTGTTGAGGAGTTTATTTTATTTTCGAGTCTTCAATTTGGTATCCTCTCCTACTCCTCTCAGGACGAAAGAGCAGCAGGTCTGCCAGGGGAGATGGGTATTGCTCTATTGTACCAACAACATCTGGAGCAGTTGGGGGGTAAGGAATTACAAGTTGAAGTAAACGAACAGAAAAAAGGGCTACCACACTTACTCTACATAGATATAATGAGGGGAATAAAAGGATGAAAGAAAGCAAGCATATGTACGTACACGCTCAAATACAAGCAAGACATGAATATGGATGCTTAAAAATGTCAAAGATCGTAAAACATGTCATAGATGATAATGAAACGTCTCTAAAGGAAGACGAGGACTTGGAGGTAAAAGATAATTCGAAGAAAGAAAGAAAGAAAATCCACAGGGAGACTAAATGTCCCTTAATCCTCTCTTTCACCCTCAGCCCTTTCACCTGATAAATCAGCATCATCAACTGCGTTTTGCTTATCACCAAGGTACCAGTTCGGCATGAACAAGGCCAAGATAATAGGTACGACACTTAGGCATGTTGCGGCGATGACCATAACCTTCATTGTTTCGTCGTATGCTGAAGGAGAGCATAGATCAGTTTTTGTAAAAAGGACGAGAAGGAGGGATCGGATGTGTACCATTAATAACACCCTCACGGATTGGGTCACCACGAGGATAAGCAACTGCATCAGTGATACTTCCGAAAAGTGCATCACGATCGGCTTCCGAAAGGTTAGGGAGATACTTTGCAAGTCTCTTGGGCATAGTGTTAGTCCAAATAGCACCAGCTAAAAGTAACATCAAAGTTCAGTGATGAATATGCAAATGACGACGAGAAAAAGAAGATAACAGATGAAGATAATATCTTACCGAGAGCACCACCAACACCACCACCGATCTCAGTCCACAAAAGAACGACAGCGGTCACGATAGCAACATCGGCGTGAGTTACGGAAGCTTGAGCTCCAACTTGACTAGCAACGGCTGCGAAACCACCACCCATTCCTTGAAGGATTTGAGTCCAAACTAATTCAGCGTCGGAGGAGTTGGCTCCTCTGGAATGAATCATCAAACCAACACCAACGAGACGAATGCAGAGACCGCCGACAAGGAGGTACTGTAGAATAAGCAGGAATGAGATCGATTGTCGGAGAAGATGCGGAGGATGAAATGCACCTTGTATCGGTGAAGGAATCTCATTCCAAGACCGGAGAGAATACCAAACACGGTCAATGCAACAGTTTGTGTTTGAGAGAAGTAATTCATGTCAACGAGGGACCAAGGCTTGACGACGTAGACGAACGAGAACAGATAAGTGTTCGTCAAGTAGAAGGATACCTGTGGAAATAGACAGAGTCAGTAGTGAGGACAATGGTGGGTAGAACGGCCAACTTACGAAATCAAAGAAGCCAATCCAAGCAGCTCCAATAACACCCCTGTTCTTAATGAACCTCCAAGCTACCACTGGTCTTTTGGCAAACCTGAAATCCCAAACACCAAAGATAGGAAGTAATACACAACCAACGACCAACATAGCAATGATAGAACCTAAAGAAGATTGCGGGAAACTATCAGCTCATGCCTTGATCAAAAAGAGGCGACGATCTCACCGTTCTTCCAATGATCGTTAGCAGTTTGACTCAATGTCAAAGGCAGCAAGATCAAAGCTACTGAAGCGCCAAGCAAAGTCAAACCAATCGCGTCCAATTGTTCAGCGACCCTCCAGACCTTCTGCTTGAAGGTCACTAGTTTCTGAGCGGGAGCGACGTATCCAGGTGCTTGACGGCGAAGGGCTTCTTCTACTAAACCTAACTTCTTGGCTTTGGTTTCGGCCCAGAATAAGGTGATGATCAAGGGAGCCAGGGACGCCGGAACGAGGATTGCGAACATTCCATCTGTGAAAAGATATTTGAATGAATGTGTTCATGAAGGAATGAAGAATGCTCACATCCCCATCTCCAACCAGCATGTTCCAAAACTTGAGCTGAGATATTGGCACCAACGAAAGCGTTGATGATGAAAGGAGCAGACGTCAGAGCGGATACGAGACCTCTCCATTTCAGAGTGGTGATATCGGCGATGATGATTTGAGTAAGAAGTTGAAGACCGCTGAATAGAGGAAGAAGACTGAGTACGACAGACGAGGACGACAGTCACAAGGAGGTACTGACGTGTAACCACTGTGATACAAAAATAGTCCGCTGATTAGCCAATTATTGAGATAAAATTGTGAGAGTATGAACGTACACAGCGTAGATGACAATACCGCCAGCAACAGCACCAACTGATCTCGCTGAGGCGATAACGATGTATCCTACATGGCGAGATATTCGCGTAAGCATGCGTCCATGGTTAATATCAGATAACGCTCCAACGAACCAACAACATAGAAAAGCACTGTAATGTAGCCACCATTAGATCAGATTGAGGATGAAGAAGAATAATACTAACAAACAGCAAAGTACGCATAAGCTCGAGATGTGACATCTGCAAGTTTAGCAATGACGGGTTTTCCAACGGCAACTGCACAAGAATATCGGGTTCAGCGGGACCGCAAGTAAACGCACGGTATCCACGTGTGACTCAACTGATAATGGACTGGGCGACTTGAATGGAAGAAATGAGAGAGTGTTCGCCAAAGTATGAAGTTGCGAAACTGAGATATGTGTACGTCGTTGAGCCGTCGAGAGAGTAGACATAGGAAGCGAGGGCAAGGCTGGAAAGATGATGTGATCGTGAGTTTGAACCGTCGCGGAAGTATTTGGCGAGGACACGCGTCATAACGAACTTACCCGATGAATAAGAACCACTTTGAGTACTTTCCATAGACCTTCTCTGCAGCTTCTACGGCTTTGACACCGATGTGAGCGTCTTGCTCTTCCTCGATTTCTGCGACGGTCGTTTGGTCGAGGACCTGTTCGCCGTCTAGACCGCCCAACGAGGAATCGTCTTTTTTGATCGAGGAATGTGACATAATGGAGGCAAAAAAGTCAGACTCTCTGGACGACACAGACAGCGAGAGAAACGGGGGAGATCACCAGCGGGGTCTTGTCTCAAACGTTGATAGCCCTTTGGGGCCATGGTTATATAGGCAATTCAACTTGGAAGTTGAAGCGAAAGTGAAGGTGGTGGGATATCTGATTAGCGGCTGATCTGGCAAGACAGCCAATGAAAATCTTATCTGATAAATCCGCTCACATCAGTATCAGATTAGCCACAATCCAGCCGGGCGCTCATCTAATCTAGCCCTCCTTCCCCCTTTCTTGGAATATTACTCTAAAAATTTTCCTGTGCCGTCAAATCGGTTCTCCACAAGGCAAAGCAATGAACAGAAAGGACTGACCGTGATTTTCAGGTACGACCTTGAAGCTTCTCGTTGGCCAGGAGCATATGTTGAAAGCGCTATGTTCGTGAGAGCATCCTCAGAGAAAGAGCGAGGCAGCGCACAACCATCAATATGTTCTGAGCGCCCACGGTTGAGACCCTCGTGGCGAACACCTGTTTTACCATCCTTGGCGATGTCTGGCCGGTAGCTGAACGACCCGATGACCAGTCAGAATGAACCGGCCGAATGGAAACATTCATCTCGGATTCCAACCTTCCGTTCAAAACCCTCTGAAGGAAACAAGACGGAGTGTGGAACACTTGAACCAGCCAGGAACAGCGGAATCTAGCTCAGGTGAAGCTGTCTATGACGCCGGAGGAGGATTATTTTGGCACCACTGCGGGGGAAGAATATTCAGTTATTGACCAGAACATGAACAAGTTCGGATTCGAGTACCAAACAAACAAAAGGCTGGCGACCATCGCGCCCCCTTGGAGTTATATTCGCGAAACTGGTGAAGTACGAGCATTGATTTGAAGCATGCCTGTTTCAAGCAAGTGATACTGTGAAACGCTAGGAGATTCGCGAGAATGATGGAGGGTTCAGTATAAGTTCGCACTAGAAACCAGATTTTATGACTTACTTTTTTACAACTTGTAGGCCTGTTGTTTTACAGATACCGAGTCGAATTGACTAGGTTTTAGCCGGATATATGCGCATTCGGGGGTAATTTTATACGACTTGGTACGGCTCTAAAGACTTGCTATACGCGTTTTCCAACCATAGGCTTTGGCAGGGAGAGTGAAATGGATGCAAAATTGGTTCAAAGGGAGTACTAAATATACGAACAGATGGGGGTTTGTGGGAACCTTTCAACTGTTCACGGAAGGGGAATGCAATGCTTCGAAAGTGACTTCAAGTTTGCTTCGAGTTATACAAACTTTTTAGAACATCTTCCGGTGAACGTGTGTAGTTATATACAATAAATAATTTGCTTCCGTCAAGGCCCAATGGTCTAGTAGTATGATACCTGCTTCGGGTTGAGTTCCATCCGACTTTCGGATCTGCAGGTGGTCCCGGGTTCAATTCCCGGTTGGGCCCTTTTTTTCTTCAGCAGTGATACTTACTTGTCTTCAAAGTTCAGACATCCTCATTTTGTTCAATACAAAATTCGATTCGACAAGTGGTTCGATCAACAGGAATTCACCACAACATCACGCGATTCAACGAAAGGAGAATGTCAAGAAGCTCGTTTGAATTCGTTACGAAACCAATCATTACACAGTCAAAATAATCGATACATGTGATTCATCACCGTGACCTTGCAACCTCAACATTTCATTTCTCTCTTTATCGCCTGACCTCCTACTAGGAACTTCACTACTAAATTTCAACTCAGAGACATTGAGAGTAGTAAGCTGGACAACCCAACAATGAGATAAATGATTTCATGAGCAACCGAACTTGACTGAAAGGAACAAAAAAAATGAAGCAGAGGACTCACGGTTAAGAACAGTGCAAGTGAATCCAGAAGCGCAAGCAGTAGCTCCATTCCAACCACTACCTCCACATTGACCGAACTGAGCAATGGTACCAGCAGCTGAACTTTGAGAGGGAGGTGCGGAAGAAGGTTGACTTGGAGATGATGCCGTTGGTCCACTTGTTGGTGCGACCGTGGTAGGTGCGGAAGTCTAATTGAGTTCAAAATAAGTATCAAAATTAACATAAATCAGACGAGATTGGAATGTTGGACTTACAGCAGGAGGGGGAGCTGGGACGCTGGGACTTGCACCGGCATAAAGAGGAGGTCCGGGAATGACATAGGTAGTTTGGCTTTGAGCGTCGTTAGTGTAGATGTCGATGGTTACACCAGGGTCTATCCAGGGTAACAAGTAGTCAGTTTACAAGCAGAATGGAAACCGAGGTGTTACATACCGGTTTGTTGGTAAGCACCAGGGAAAGAAACGAGTTCAGCTGCTGTAGGTGCAAGACTTCCACCACCGGTGATTTGGATCTGGGCGCATTCAGGGTAGAATTGCTTTTAAAAACAAATATACGATTAGTTATCCGTTGGGATACAGGAACTAGATTTGGTGGTATCACTCACAGCAGGCATGGAATGAAGAGCAATTGTCTCAAACCTGATCAAATAGTTGCCAGAAGGGACTGAAGAAGGGATGGTAGTCGTCCAAGATGAATTCTGATCAATCATTTTGCCTGAACCCCAATATCCGTCGCCGACCGTTCCTGAAAGCAGACCTGCTTCGTCGATCTTGAACTAAACAAACCATCAGTGAGTTGTCGGACTGTTGACGGTCATGTGACACAGGAGGAGGCATACCCATTTGAGAGTGTTCGCATTCACTCCTGTACATGTACTACCAGGGCATTGGGCGAGGTAAGTCAACTATTCGATGAAATCATCATCAGTCTATATGAAACAGACATCTTGAATTGAGAAGAAGACATACCATGGGACCTTGAGCATGAGGCCAAACTTGATTCCAATAAGCAGTGATGGGAGATCCAGCTTGGGCAGTAGTCGTCAATTGAAGAGCACCGGAAGTACCATCATCGTTACATGCGATGGTAGGATCGGTAGCTACAGTGATCGGGTTACTAAAATGATGGAAATGAAGTTCAGAGTGGGTCGCAGGAGAAAGAGGAATCGAACGAAGATGCAACATACTAGGAAGACCAAGGTCTTTGAATCGTAGTTTGCCCCACAGGTGAATTGTATGGTGCCCTGAAAAATCAAGTTCGTTCATTAGCCACTAAGGTTGAAAGCAACAAACGAACGACACTCTGAAAGTAATATACCACGCACCATCCTTGGAATATGCTTCCGTCGATTTTATAAGAAAGCACACCACCGTGAGCCAAAGCTTGAGGTAAAACACCAGCAGAGGCCAAAGTCACAAGAGCAGTGAGAGCGGTGAACATCTTTCCAAGTTTTCCTTGTCTTTCGATTTCGAGAAGTTGAAGTTGGGGTTGTGGGGTGACTTCACTTCGTCGAGGTTCTTTATAAACCCTTGCCATAGCCCCATAGTCTTCGCAACAAAGGAACTCGGGACAAAAACTGAGCTAAAAATATCTTACTAAGATGAATCAAACGGCATGATTGTCAGTGACAAATGCGATAGAAAGGTATTGCCATGTCATCATACCTCCTTGCTAGAAATGCGGGGAATTGACGGTAAGAGAATAAGGAAAGTTGTACTGTATGGAGGAACTTTTGTACGAGAATGATAGGTCATGATACAACTTGCCGACGGAACGAAATGAAAATCATGGCATAGAAAGACGTACCTCATACGAAGAGCAGTAGAAACGTCTAGAGAAGACCTGTGCCGAGACTGAATAGGGTGAGAACGCAGCAGGGACGAAGAAAAGAGACAGGTTTTAACGCCGTCGGCTCGGCTCCATGAGACTTGCGGTTTTTCTTCGCTTAGTAGAGTGAAGTAGAGAGCCATAGCTACATGGGTATGTTTTCAAGAGTAAGGCTTTGGTTAATCCAGGATCAAATGAGCCAAATACCCTAAGATCAACTCAAACATGTCAGGGTCCACTCAATTTCTTGGGAGGCATTAATGCTCACCGCAAGAAAAGCTGACGTTGACTCCTTGTCCTCAAAGTAACAGTATCATATATCATCTGATCTACTCACATCCCCGTCGAGAATCATCCAACTCCCCCAACTCAGTAAACTCCGGATCAGCATTCGGTTCGAGTTCGGTATAGGTATGGAGTTTCCAGAGGGTTGAATTGCATTTCCTGATAACTTCTGATGACATGTGATCTATTTGAGATGATGTAGTAACGAGACAGAAAGCCGAGAGTGTTGAATGCAGCCAAACATACGGCTTGAATTGTGCCAGATGGAGGTTTGGGTCGAAGCGATGAGCGTTAAGCATCTGGCGTTGAGTAGAACCCCACGTGGCGGATAAATTTCTCGGCAACCTTCGGCATCATAAACACTGACTCGGCGTTCCTTTGCTAGTGGCAACTCCCTCCAGCTTCCTCTCATTGTCCTTCAATAGAGCATTCTTTTTTTCTCTATCTAAATATTGAATGAACCACCTGAAATCGCAGTGAATTTTCAGTAATCAGACTTAGACTTACTGTAAGAGGTTCATTTGATTTAGTTCATAATTCGTGATCCTTTCTGACTACTTCAAACTCTTACTTGTTAGATTCAAATATCGGAACGCATTCTCAACGCAGTCGTATGACTGGGAATGAGCAGCACCTTTCTCTGATGTAGAAAAAGCAAATTAACAAAATATGCAATGTGCACCCAGCTATACCTGAACGTCGGATAATTATGGAAGTCGTTACTATTCTTAGATTCCTATTGTCCGTCAAAGTCGCGGGAGTTCGCTATTAGCTGACTTCAGACATTTGATTTGGACTTTGGTACATCATACAGTGAGCACATGCCATCTACACTCCATTTGATATCCATGAGTCTACATCAATTTGCAGGAATACATACACACACAGTTCTAGTTCCTACTGGAGAGTTCCGGAGTCAACTACCACTCCATTTACCCCACTACGACGAGTTTGGGTGGGGTCAGTCCTAACTCCAAAGTGGCACAGGTGAAGCGCCGCAACGCTCAATCTCCATGTAGTAGGTTTCTTCATCATCTGTGATTGCGAGTTTTTCCTAACATATACTCCAGCATATTATCCCAGGCTAATGAACGGTCTCATATTCTCCTAGGGCAGACGAGAATTATCTGGTCCACTATCCACCAACTTGAGATATGTTTCTGATGATTTCAAAAAACGCACACTGTAGAGTCTTGTGGTGTTCTCATGTTTCACCTACTTCTCATCTCCCATTCGAAGCAATGTGATTCAACTTCCTCTGGAGTTTGAAAGTCTACTCCACTAGAAGTGACACGTCCTTGGACCCGAAATTCGAGCCTCCACTTCTCAATAACCGGTCCGGACTGCAAGTGCGTATTCACGGCAACACTTCACAAAGGATTGGAAGGAATTGAGGCTGCTCATGGTGATGATTGATCAGATCTTCAGGTACCTTGCAGAGTGCAGAACCGACCCTCATTACCACAACTTCTAGTCAGATCCATTGCTCTCTTCGAGAAGGAGAACATTATATCGTATCCAAGATCAGGCCACTCCATTCTTCCCTAACCTCTCGACATCAAACGCGGCCGTGAGGCCAGCAGTACTAGGAGGTGTTTTGATGAATGTTCACTCCCTACATTGTCCTATACATTGCTCTAGCGCGGTCTGTGAAGGAGACTAGCAGACAGGTAGCCCTCATGTTGCGCCGCTCTTCCTCCGACATTGAGAATATAATAAGAAACGGCTGTCGGCCACGGAGACTATACCAACAAGAAGTTGTACAACACTATTCCATTTCCTAACGAGCAACACAGGTATCCAAAACAAAAGCAAGTCATTACTGGGTCGTACAGAGTCGTAACATGTCGCATCGTAAACAAAAATCGTGAGGTATAGATAGTGAAAGCAAATAATCCGATAAATACCAATGGTTCATCTGTCGAAATCTCGAACTCAGAAGATCGCTGTGAAGAAGCCGGCAACGATCACCAACAAGAGTAGTCGTGGAATGGCAGAAGATGAAGTTGAAAAAGATTTAACTCCCCAGCTAGTAGTAGCTGTGGGAGTAGGAGCTGTGCTCGATGGAGTGACTTCACCATCTGTGATGCTCACGTTCCCAAGTAAGGTGCTTTCGATAGCACAGATTTTTCGCATTCCATCAACGATAGATGGTAAATCCTCAGGTGGTTCTAACCATTGAGTCTGGTTAGTTTGAACAAAGCTGTGATATATCAGTCATTGTAAGTTGATTGCTGTTATATGTAGCAATATGTATGGTTACGGACCAATCAACGCATTGGGGGAAAGCTGTTGTTCACGATGGATGCGCTCAGATCGTTATCTCAGATTACGCTGTAGTATGGAAACAACATACTGCTTTGGAATGTATCGGTACAAGCGCACTTTATAACGTCGATAAAGGCACCAGGATTAAAGATAATCTAAACAAAGTATGATCAGTCAAAGACTGTGATCGATAACAACTCATGTATACTCACCATCGA